GCCACTGTTCTACATCTGGGGTCCACTAGTTAGCTCTACAGCTAAGTAAGTGAGCGCAAGCAGCATCTGTCCTTCTGTGTGTGGATCCAGAGAGGAGGTTTGGTGACATAAGAGGCTCCTTCCTTGTGAGGGCCTGGTGTGGGCAGGGCCTCTGCAGCCCTGAGGTTCCTCAGGCCGGGCGAGCAGAACAGAACACACTCAGGTGTGCCCTAACCTGGCAGTTTAGATTACGTTCCTCATCCATCTTCCTTCCACCTCATGTTCCCCTAAACTTCCCTGCTCTTCCACAACTCGGTGCCTTTCAGAGTGTCTACACTTGTCCGAAAAGAAAATCTATGGGACGTGCATCAAAGGGTTCAAAGCGCTTGTCTTCAGAGGGATGGGAAACAGACAATTTGACTTTTCTTTGTACTGTCACCACCAAAGCTTCTATTATAAACATGTATTGTTTCTAGAATTAGAAAATTTTCATGTTATGTAGAATAAAAAACAAAAACAAACAAAATCCCAACCAAATTTTTCAGCGAAGGTGGAAGGTGTTTAAACTTGGTTTCCCCAGCAGCCAGACTGTCTTCTGTCCTTTACTCCCTCATGCAGTGGGCAGGACACCCTGCGGATGTTCTGGTGGCCAACGCTTCCCTGGGGGGACTGTCCCTCCACCCCACAAGATTTTTCACATCCTTGGTCCAAATCCTGACAAAACAGGTAAAGCTTTCCCACTTCACCTGTGTGACACCCAAATTCCCATCTCTGCTGGCCCTCATGGGTGGGGGCTCCTCGCAACCCCTAGCAGCGTCCTGTGCCTAAAGAACAGTCCTATGCTGCAAATGCTTCCTGTTCTCTCACTTATTTCTCCAGGTGTCAAAGGACTCCCTAACTAAAATAGTTTGGTTCCATTTCCAAACAATGTCCCCTTCAGCAGTTTGGGGGAAGGGAGAGATTGGGTGTGCAGGCTTCTTCCTGGAAGGCAGGCGGTGAGCAGGCTCAAAATATTTACATCCAGCATGGGGCTCCTGCTGGCCCCTGGCAAAAGGCAAGCCTGTTCCGAAGCCACCACCCAGCTAAAGAGCCCAACGCTTATTCATCCAGTGGTTGACCTGCGAGAGCCCAGAGAGGAGTGTTCTTGGGAGGTGACAAGGGACAAATGTGTCATTCTTCTTCCTGGGTGCCCTGGTGGGATGGGGCTTTTTTTTGGGGGGGGGCAGGACTGGTTCCTGGCCAGCAAAGGGAGCTGGAGAAGGGCGGGCTGCTGGAGCAGCCCTGGGAAATGCATCTAAATGGGAAAATGTAAGATAGGCGCGCGGCCCCTCTGTCTCAGCAGTCATCATCACAGAGGCTAGACCTTTGGTGGGGCTCAGAAAAGAATAATTACTTTTCCCCCCAAAACACTTTTGATGACACTCTAATTAAGAGCACATCAATTCCTTCTTTGACCCCAGCCTTCTGGAACCCAGCCCCTAGCGGGCTAAGGGCCATTTCCCACAGCAGGATGGGAGATGTGCTCGGGCCAGAGCCAGCACCTCCTGAGCTGGGGGACAGGGGCCGTGTCTGCGTCTGCTGGGAAGCAGTTCTGTGGGTAAGCAGGGCACACCTGCTGCCTTCCCGGGATGGAAAGGGTGCCGAGGGCGGCGAAGCTTGGTGGGAATGGGTCCGCTTTTGTTTTCCATGGTGGAGGGAGGCCAAACTGTAATTCTTATTTTTCAAGCTGCATCCTTTGCCAAGTTGGCTCCCCCAGCTCCTGCTGGGATGGAAAATTGCGCAGGCCAGGCCCCTCCCCCGCCCCCGCGCTCACAAGAGCCTTTCCTTTGTTCTGCTGATGCTGCAGTCTGGACAGCAAACCTTAGGAGAGGGAGGCTTGGCCTCCGGAAAAGCGCGAGGTGGGTGCAGAAGGGGTAAGGCAGGGGCTCTGGGGCCCAAAGGTCCCCTCCAAGCTGCAAGGGAGGACCAATGGGCAGGGACAAAGGGGCCAGTGCTGGGGGAACAGTGTTCTCTATTAATTCTTGGGTGGAAAAAGATTACGTAACCCTGAAAGCTTTTAAGAGTTTGGGAGAGGGTCGGGCTTGAGTTCTCTATTCTGAGTTTTTCCAGAGGTGGTTTTGCCTTTCATCCAGAAAAATAAAGCTTACATACTGCTTTCCGTTCCTTTCTTGAAGAAAAGCCTACATCGAGACCCCAGTTAAACTTGAATATCACTTAAATTCTTGATCATTAAAGATGACTCCAAGAAACCAAGAAATCTCAGAGGAGTGTCCTGGGACCCTATTGCTGCCTTTGCTGAGAATGGCCTTGTTCTGGGGACATACTTCTATGAGCCTCTATGTGAAGCAAGGGTCACTGCCATACTGAGGCAGAAACTGAGGCTCCGATGCGGTTGTCACCTGCTTGAAGTCACGGAGTTGGCCTGTTCAACCCCACAGCCTGCTTGTGCTTTGGAGTCCTGATAGCAGCTGGCTGTCACAGCCGGCACCTAGGGCTTTCTCTAGGAGGCACCTATTTCCAGTGTGGTTGTCTTCTTTCCCACAGCGTAGCTGCCCACGTTTAGGACAAGGATCCTCCCCGAGGATGGGGCCTGGTAGACATATCTGCCCTTTCTCTGAGCCTGTGCAAGCGTGATGACACCTGGAAGAACCCACTGGTATCTTGGACTTGGGGACTCACGTGGCCCTTGGACTGTTCCGGTGCCTGACAAAGGAAAAGGGGCCAAAGGGACCCTCTAGCTGGAAACATCTGTGACTTAGGGTGACTAACAACTTGCTGATTATATAAAAACAGTATAGTGAGTGTTTGGTGACCCTTAGCTAGCTGCCAGGCATTTCAATAAGACAACAGTGCCATCATTTAAGGACCGTTATTATCTACGGTTGAGCAATGAAGACATAAAACCCAATGTATTGTCCTTTAAAGAGCTGATGAATGGGAGGACTGAGCTTAGAACCCAGGTCTTTCAACGCCCACAATATCTGTACTTGAATCCAGTTCTGCCATCTGTGCAGATGCTTCTCTAAGCCTCAGTTTCCTCATCTGTGAAACAGTCCCAGGAATGCCTGCCCTGCAGGGTTAGTCCTTGAGGACTGAAGCAGGTAATGAACATGAAGCACTTAGCCCACCCAGCAACTGACCTATAGCAGACAGCCAATAATAAACAGGAGCTCCTAGGACCTGAAGCAAGAACACTGGCTCAGATAATCCTCTTTTTGCCAACTGCTGCCTTCATACCATTCTTCAGTAAGGAAGTTGTTTTTTGGGGGGTGAGTAGGATACTGGCTGATTTGAGACCAGCCAAAATTGCACTAAATTCTCTATAGCCACCAGTGTGACACCTAGTACTCAGAAAGTCTTTGGGAGCTCTAGTAGGCAGGGAAGTAGAATTTCTATAATGACCCCCAACAATGTCTCATCCTAATGCCCAGAGTCTGTGTATGTTATGAGATATTTTATGCTTTACATTCTCTTTAACAGAGGAGTATTATCCTGGATTAGCCAGGTAACTGCATGGGCCCTTATAAGTAGACTGCCCTCTCTGACTGGTAGCAGAGGGGCAAGTAAGAGGGATGAGAAGCCTAAGAAAAATCCAGTGCTCCACTTGTAGGCTCAAAGATGAAGGTATCATGGGATAAAGAATGCAGGCAACTTCCAGGCACAGAGAGGGCCCTCCGCTGACAGCCAGTGAGTAGATGGGAGATCTCAGGCTGGGGGCTGCAAGGAACTGAGTCCTGCCACATGCTGAGTGGGGATGAAAGTGGTTTCTTTCTTAGAGCTTCCTGGCAAGAGCTCAGCCCAGTTGACGCTTTGACTTTGGCCTTGTGAGGCCCTGAGCCTGTGTGGGACTGTGACCCACAGGATGGTGAGGGAATAAATGGGTGCTGTTTTATGTGTATGTTATTAAGTTGGTGATAATTTATGATGGAGGAAAACTAATACAGTAGCTACACTAACAGAAGCGGCTCACTTCAAAAACCGGTAAGCTCTGGTGATTTCCATTTGAGAGATGGGAGAAGCCGAGCATCTGGGAGGTGATGGTTCTTGCAGTAGGCTACACACCCAGTAATGGTGTGGCATCTAACTCCAAATCCCACACTCTTAGTGTTTGATCCCCATGACTGGAATTCTGGTCAGGGCGCAATGCTCCCTGATGAGGGACGTGAGCTCCTGAGCTGTCTTGCGAGATCTGGGAGCTGCTTTGCAGTTCCTAGCATTCCTGTTTGAGAGCATGCATGTCACCTACCTGGCAGAAAGGGAATAATCCGCTGTTTAGGGTCTTTCTGTCCTCCTTCCATGGGGAATTTGTCCAACATTTGCATCTAAATGGGGAGAAAATACCAAAAGCAAACACTTTTTATAATGCAACAACTGCATCTCTGAGATTTTCAAGAAATAATGGGAACTATGTGACTTGACTTATACAAAGTTTACTTGTAGTCCACTTTTTCAAAAAGCAGAAGCAACAGGAAAGGCAATTTCAGATGGATACCAGGCCCCATGAAGATAATCTCTTACATCAACAGCTGCCACACTACGAAAGCTAAGAGTTGCCCAAGGCCTTTTGTGGTTTTCCTGGGAGTTTCCACCCATGGGACCTGAAGTGTGAAGAACGCCTTTGGAGCCATCAGAATTTCACAACAGTAGATCACCCTTCTTCCTAAATACTGTCAGGTTGTGTTAGGGAATAACCATCAAGATGCCCCCAAGACAGCATTCTACCCCAGACCACTAAGAAGTCCCCAGAGTGGTTCAGCAGACAGCTTTGTGGGCTGGATGCAGAGGGCACAGTGATGAAAGGATTCAGTCTCCAGAAGAGCCTGCAAAATACACTGAAATTCCAAGATGACACCAAGGAGGCACCACAAGAGCTGGGTTAGGCTGCTGGGGCAGAGGAATGAGTACAGAACGAATGGGGGCATGATTTATTTAATAACACCATAACTGTGTCTCTGACATTTTAAAGAATCAATGTGAAACGTCTCCATTGTATTCCAAATGACCAAATCTGCTGCTTACTCCTAGAGTGCTTCTAGGGGAGTGATACAACTTTTCAGGGCCTCATCTTTAAGTCTGCCATAAAGATAGCAACTTACAGCATCATTCTATGGATTAAAGCTGGGCTGTGATAGTCACGAATGTTACTATTAAATATTCTTAGTGCTTTTTAGCAAAGGGCAGACTTACACTCTCCTCATCTTGAGGAGGGCCAATTCCATGTGATCAGGAGACATGGGTCACATCAGGGTGATGATTTACGACCAGTTCATGGTTGACATTCTCTACTTCTCTCCGCTATGGGTGGAGCTGGTCATGCTCTAGACAATGGATTCTCTGTCAGTGGAGGCTCTACAGTGGGCGGGGGTCAGAACACCCAGAAACCTCTGGTGGTGTGGCTGTGTCGCCAGAGACACAGATGCCTTTGATGCATAGTGAGGCTCCGTGTTACAGCAGCACACTGTGACCCATGCTGGTGAGTATATGGTCAAGGAGCTAAAGCTGATGGAGAGGGAGTCCTGACCCCTCCTGCAGTAATGGCTGGCATGTGAAAAGCCTGCCACGACTGTACCTCTAGGACAGCTACCCGGCTCTAGATCTGTCCCCTCTATTAGAATGAAAGAAGCTAGGGAAAGTCCAGGAGAAATGAGAAGAGTACTGGGGAGGCATTTGGAAGGGGCAGCAGCTTCCCACGGGGAGGAGGACAGAAATGTGCCTGCTGAGCACCTATTGCATGCCAGGCGTGCACTAGATTCTTTAGAAACCTTCCCTGGTGAAATCCTCAGAACACCCCTGAGCATGGACAATGGTATCCAGGAAAGCCCAGGCCAGGGAAGTGAAGCAATCTGCCTAGGGGCCTGGAGCCAGCAATGTGGTTGGGACAGAGAGGGAAGCTCATGTAGTACTTTGCTATCACATCATCCGTCCTGCCCTGCCCCCCACCACCATGCTGGGAAGTCAGTGAGAGCGTCACTTTTCCAGGCTGGTGCCCCCTGTGTCCTCTGTGTTGTTTTGTCCAATGCCCCCAGGAGGTGGGCAGCCTCAGCTTGGCTGGTATCCTGAAGAGCTGCTGGGCTCTCAGGTTTGCCCCAAAGCTTGGGCTCAGCATTTTATCTATGGCTTTTTTGTTTTGCTTTTTTCTACAGTGCTGGGAACTAAATCCAGGCACTGCATGTGTGAGGCAAGCCCTCTATCGTGGAGTTACACCCCGACTCATTATCCATAGCTGTATTTGTGGTTTTTAGTCACTGATCCCTGATCTGTCCTATGTGGTAGGGGAGAAATACTCCACCCACTGTCCTTTAGAGATTGGCAAAGCCACTCAAGATTTACTCTTGAAAAGGGAGGCATCCTTTTTAGAACCCAAGAGCGCTTCAAAACCAGTGGATTGTTAATACTTGATAAAAACTGGCAGAACTAGATGTTCATAGTAGGGGAGGCTCTGTGTGCATGCAGGAAAGGGGAATGTGGGAAGACTCAGTGTTAGTCATTTGCCGTGAACCTAAAAAAAAGTTTATTAATTAAAAAACAAAAATACTGGCCCAAACCGATGACTGCAATGGAGAGAACTTTTTGAGAAGCAGCTTGAGGAGATGGTTGCTAGGCAACTCAATGAATCATATACACATAACTAGTATAAAATAATAATTAGTAATCTCTACTGACATTGTACAGCATGCCAGCAACCCTGTGAAATAAATGGTATAGCTCCCAAGTTACAGATGTCTTCTGTGGTAGGGAAGAAATACTCCATCCACTGTCCTAATTGGAACAGAGGGCAGAGAACATGCCTGAAAGTCATATAGCAAAGCAGTGGTGTGTCAAACACCTTCATCTGAATCCAGTTCTGCTACCCTGGGATCACTCTTTAGGTGGCTTCTGAGTGTCATGTGAATGTGAAAAAGCAGCCTGGGATGAGGCAAGTTTAATATCCCGTGCACACGGAAACACTAAGCTTTCTTTTCAAAAGCAATTAATCAGGCTCAGCTGCAGAGTGCTTCAGAGACTTATCGGTTTTGTCTAACACTATCCGCCTTTTCCCTTACCAATTTTATTTTTAAGACAGTGCTGAAATACCACTGAAGGATTTTTTTTTTTTAAAGAAAGCACCAGGGTTGGACATCGTGGTGCATGCATATAACCCTCACGCTCTGTGGGGCTGAGGCAGGAGGACTGCCAAGTTCAAGCCTAGCCTGGGCAACTTACTGATTTAACAAGGCCCTATCTCAAAATAAAAAAGGCTAAGGATGTGGCTCAGTGTGAAGGCCCTGAGTTCAATTCCAGTTGAATTGTTATTCAATTACAATAACACATGCACACACACACACACACACACACGCATGTGCATGCAAGCACATACTCACATAGCACAAAACCACCCATCCACACTAGCATGATTCCTCCACTCTCTTGGGCTCCTTTCAAAACCCTATCTAGACGCTCTCATCAGCCAACAGTCCCCACCGGCACTGCAGTCCCAGTGGCCACTGCTTGGCTTAGGCAGTCACCCTCCCACCTTTTGTTCTCGTGTGCTTCCACCCAAATGTGGCCCCAAGAGCTGAAGGTCTGTTGGTGCTACTTATTTATTGGAGATAACATACCTGGGTTTATATCTAACTAGAGATATCACCCCTGCGGACTAGCAGTCCTGGGGCAAAACCTTGGTGCTTCCTCATGCCAGGTATGTCCTTGGCGGGACACCTGTCATGGGGCTAGCAGGGCTGCCTGTGGAGAGGGGACTATGCTCTACAGGGGCAGGTCAATGAATGAGGTATGCAAATTCTTTGAGGACACATTTTGAAAGAAATCTCCCTTCCTTGTGTTCTCTGTTATTTTGAAAGTTAACTTGGGGTTATGTTTTAATAATCTACGAAGTTGAAAGAAAAAAAAACCAAACAAACAACTGTTAAACATTACAAGATAAAATGTATCATTCCAACCATATTTAAGGGTGCAGGTCAGCCGCATTAAGCACATCCACATCACTGTGCAAACAGCACCGCCATCTGCCTCAAGTGCTCCTCCACCGTCTAAGACGGGAACTCTGTCCCTAAGAAATGACAGTATTTCATTTCAGCTCTTCTGCTACCCCCATTCTACCTTGTCTCCATGAATTTGATTATTCTAAATAGTTCTCGTAAGTGGAATCGCACAACATTTGTCCTTTTGTGACTGGATAATTTCATTTAGCATAATGTCCTCAGGATCCATTCATATTGTAGCCAGTGTCAGGATTTTCTGCCTTTTAAAAGCTGAGTAATACTGGCTGTGAAGCAGTGTTGAAACTGCATTTGGTTGCCAGCCTACAGCACTCCTAGAAGGTGGTGGACAATTTAAGAGATGGAACCTCACAGGAGAAAGCACCTTGGGGTGTGCTTTGCAGGGACTTCGGTACCTTCCTGTCTTTCTTTGCATCCCGCCCACTGCGAGATGAATGGGCCTCTTCTACGCATGCCCCCACCCTGATGCCCTATGATGCCGCAGGCCCAAGGCAATGTGGCTGGGTCACTGTGGACTGAGACCTCTGAACCCATGAGCCCAAGTAGACCTTCCCTCCGCCTACATTAATATCTCAGTCACTCTATCACTGTAACATGGGGCTGCCACACAGGTGGACATGTTCTGTCAGCGCTGTGTAATATGGTGGCTACTAGCCCCAAGTGGCTACTAAGTATTTGAAAATCAGTTTGTATCAGCAATTGAGGAACTGAATATTAAAATTTTCTTTAATTTAGATTTAAGCAGTTTACATGACTAGTGGGTAACATGCTGGACAGCAGAGGGGTGGGCTACAACAAGCCAGTTTTGCTTTATCACCCTATGAATGTCAACTGCACTCTATGAGATCGCAGGTGCAAGGACGGGTTCTGAGTGTTAAAAGTCGATAGTTCAGAGGCCTGAGAGCTTTTGTGTTTTTGGACTTAGTGTGTCCAGGTTCACAGGGCACAAGTGATTTTGACTAGACAATTGTTACACTTGCTATCGAAGGTCTTTAGGGACTCTTACATGGACACTCAGCCCCAAATTATCATAGCTCCAGGGCTGGAGGCACCCCCTGAAAAAGTCCAATCACAGATTTTATCCTTGGTAACAAGAAAACTCACCATGCCTGTTCCTGTCCCAAATATCCAAGAAGTCATGCTCAGAGCAAGGAATCAGGAGGCAGATGAATCAGCTTTGGGGGCAGGAGGGAAGAGGGAGGTACCACAAGCTGCCACATCACAAGCCTCCAGGGGACCAGCAAACACTCCATCAGCAGTTTCCAGACCCCAGCCTGCGGCAGAGGGAACGCAGCCATGCTGTCCAAGGCAAACACCACAGGAGC